ATCCAAGCTGAACAGGTAAGTTCATGGACTTCTATCTCTCAATCTAGGAAGAGTTAGGTTTAGGTTTATGAATGAAAAATGCTCTACTCATGGCCCTGAAGCTACACATATAATTACTTTGCATTTATGTTGTGTGTGCTGAGAGAATTTGGAACCTGAATATTAGAAAAAACTTAGGTCAGGAATTAGGGATGAAGAAATTCTCCTTCGTTTCTTAGAGTTAAGTTAAGTTCTTTATATGTCTGGATTCGTCTCTTGATGCTCTACATTTTTGGTGTTATGAGTTTTGCTTGAAAGTCCAAGAATCAGGATGTTTGAAGCAGCATGAAAAACGCGCGTTTTTGAGACAAACTGGCTGGAGGTTGAAGAAGATAGGCTTGGGCTGGGCCTGAGTTCTGTTTTCCTTTTTGCACCACTTTATTTCACACACACCCCCCTGGCCCATTGCATGATATATTTGTCATTTTTTATTTTTTCCTTTTGATTTGGATTCTATATTTTTATTTAAGCATGAAAAAACATTAAAAATATTTTTCTCACATTTTTTGCATTTTATTTGGTATTTATTTTGCTTCATTTAGTTTATATGTAAATAAATATATAATATACTTTTACTTAAAATACTTAAAATAATACAAAATACATTCTATTTTCTGATTTTATTTTATTTTATCTTTTGAAAACATTTTCTAAAAAATATACTTTTTTTGTAAATATTAAATATTTTATTTTTGTACATATTTAATATATTTAGTAAATATTATAAATACTTATATACTTATTAGAATATTTAGGATAAAAACATAAAAATAATACATTTTTATTTTTATTAATATTTAACTTAAAAAATCACTTTTTTACAATATACTTTCTTTTTATTTTTATTTTTTGTACATAATTAATAAATATTGCATATATTAAATAATAAATACTTCTTACTTAGAAAATTAGGGTTTTGCCCTAAAATGTAAAAATATCCAAAATTATTCATTTTTATTTTTGTTTATTTGTCACATGAAAAATACCTTTTTACATACATATGAAAATCATTTTTGCATCTTGCATATTTATTTTATTTTATTTAATTATCGTGCAATTAAATAATTTGAATATTCAATTTGGATGTAATAGTTTAGATTTAATTTTTCTTGCTAAATATCCCCCATTTGAACATTTGTACCCCCCATCCCATAATTGTGTTGTAATAGTTTAGGACTTTAAATTTCGCACTTTAAAGCTTTCTAATTATACCATGATAGACTTAGGGTTTTGTATGCAAAAATCAACCAAAAATAGTTTGACCTAATTCAAAGATGACAAAGCATGAAAATGGACAACACCAATCACACTTGCACCCCTAGGGTACTCCACTTGTTGCCTTCAATAATGGGCCATGTTGCATGTTAGGTGTCTTTGGCAAAAAAACAAAACAAATTCAAATGATCATAGTCCCTCGATGACGCTTTCAAAAGTTGCCTAAAAATGATCAAGTCCCTTAAAGGAAAAATTGCCCAAAGACACTTGGCACCATTGCAATCATGGTCTAAACGATGACCCGCGCCCGTCTCGTTCACATCCTAACACAAGATTGTCCACCAAATACAATGGTGGAACAAAATTGTTAAAAAGGGTTAAAAACATAGCAAAGATCTTTGAGTAAATTTAGGAGTAGATAACTCTTGGTTACTTGCCAACTTGCAAAACAAAAACACTTGCCTATTTTTCAAAACCACACATCACAACACACTTTCAAAAACAACTTTCAAAAACATTGAAAAAATTTCAAAAGACATACACCTTTGTATACATCCCAACATGGATCATTACAAAGGTTTCCACCACATTGGCCTCTTTTCAAAACATTTTCAAACCCACACACAAAGCACCATTTCAAACAATTGAAAGCACCATTTCAAACAATTGAAAATCAAGGCAAGTTGATCTAAGCAAGTAACTAAGAGCCCATGGATAACCATGGATAGAAAGGGTGCTAATACCTTCCCTTTCTATAATCTACTCCCCGAACCCAAGAAAACATCTCAAAGGTTTTTACTGTGCTTTTTAACCTTTCCTTAGGATAAAATAAAAAGTCGGTGGCGACTCTTGCTCAACCGAAACATTTGCGAAAACAAACACAAAACCTCAAGTCAGTTCTCCCACCGTATCACACTTACTAAACAATATAGTGAGATCAACTATTGTAATATCATTAGATTCCTAGATCATGGTGACCTCTAGTTTCCAATTCCTAGTAAGAAATCTCAAGACTTTGTTAGTAGCAATCACATTGGAAATATGATAACCAAGTGTGTTCAAACGATTAATGAGATTTAATGTATTTTTATTATCATAATCATTCCATTGTGATTTCGGCTTAGGTGTGACAACATCATTAAAATTGTTTTGAGTAATTGGTGTTGAACCATTTAAAATAGCATCCTAAACACATATGTCGCAATAGTTTACATGAATGTGCATGCAAGCTTTCAAATAACTATAGTTTTATTCCGTAAAGATTGACGCTCTATCATATGCCCATTTAGGTTTATACACCATTTTCTAATAAGATTTTGAAGCACATAATTAACCGGAGCTCGTGATACCACTTGTTGGACTACAACGACTTATCTAGAGGGGGTGAATAACTCCCCAATTAAAAATTACCTTACAAAAATAGGTATTTAAAAACTTATTTGAAAAACAATGTTAAGAGGAAGGTGTTTGGCCTAGATCAAAATAGTATTCTTGAAGCAACTAGAAAAAATGATAAACAATGAAGTCGCCATCTAATATTTATTTATCCCAAGAAAGGGAAAGGAATACATTGAATAAAACCTATAAAGGAAAATATAAATGTCTCACGAGACCAAGAGAAGGGTAAGAGAGTCGATTACACAAGAGGAAGGTATTAGCACCCCTCACGCCTGTGATACTCCACGGGATCCACTCTTGTTGTTCTAATAAAAAGGTGTGTTATATCTAATGCTTACAAGCTAGGAAAATGTATGAATAAATTGTTAACAAACAAAAAGAAAGTTTTAAATTATTGTGCTCGCCTCAGTTTTGAAACCTCGTGTCTACGTATCCCTGTCGTGTAATAGAGAATCAGAGCACCGTAGTTCTTCTCAAATTTTTTGATTTGTTGCTATATTTTATGAACGATGTTAATTTTTCATTCTACTATTGCTCAACCTTTGGAGACTCACCAATTTGTCATAGAAAGGAATTAACATGTTATTACCTGAAAAGGTTTTCAAAAGAAAAAAGCCCGAAGGCCAAAGAAGTTTGAATTTATTGTGTGTTTTTGTTACCTTGAAAAGGGATTTGGTGATTTGAACCATATTAAACATTGTGATTGAGAGGAAGCACAAGGTTAGGAATCCACCCCCTCATACTTCTCCCAATACTTAAGGCTCATGACACATGGTTCACCTCATCATTATTAAGTATTTTGTGTTTTGATTGAGAAAGATCTTTTACTCTTACAAGAATGCAATGCAAAACAAACCACTAACAAGTGCAATGGGATCTTAATCCTACTTGATTTCATGCAATGGTGGCCCTAAGGTTGATTTTGAAGGGAAATCCTAAATATGTTCTCATGCTTGGATATCAATCCTAAGTTCTATCTCAATTCAAATCTTAACTAATATTGAATCGAGAAATCCTATAGGAGCATGTCATAACAAGCACAAAGGTCATAACCACAAGTAAGTCTCAAACACTTGACAAAGCATCAAGACAACAATCACCTAAGTCTAACAAGACTCAAGAAAATACAGAAGGCACCTAAACAAGTAATAGGTGAACACATTACAAACAAGTGTCTCAATAAGATCGATCATGAATTGGGTCAGTAATTAAACAGTCATCAACCACTTGTATCATTGCAACAATTGCACAAGTGCACACAAAACAATAATTACCTACTTTGAGGTATGACTTCCAATACTCACACATTGCCTACTCCAAGATAGGACTTCAAATACTCAGACATTGCTTACTTCAAGGTAGGACTTCAAATACTCAGACATTGCCTACTTCAAGGTAGGATTTCAAATACTCAGACATTGTCTACTTCAAGGTAGGACTTCAAATACTCAGACATTTCCTACTTCGAGGTAGGACTTCAGATACTCAAACATTACCTACTTCAAGATAGAACTTCAAACATACTCAGTATGCTTCTAACATGGGATTAAGACCTAGAATGATGCTTAAAAGAGAGATAAACTCAGGTATAAAAATCAAGTGAACCAACATTATTATTTGTCAAGCAATAGTACACAAAATAAGAGTCAACAACTATGTACAGAATCAATTACAATTGATTAAAGAAAATAATAGGAAAAAACCTAATTAAATTCTAAAGATAATTCCTAGAAAATTCTAATGTACTCCTAAAAAACAATTAGAAATTTTTATTGTTTTTATTACTAGTTTTTATTTGTAAAAATTATGGAAAGAAAGTTTAAAGGGGAATCTAAAGACGAAGGGGTGTAGGACTTGGTTCAAGGTGTGTGGTCAGAAGCAAATTGCTTCAGGCGCTAGGCCCAACCAAGTTAGGTCCAGGGACTATTTGTTTTAGGCTTTGGGATGCCAAAAACTATGTAATGGCCTTAAAGGGGGTGTGGCAAGCGATCCAGGTCCAACAACAATACCAAGTCCAATTCAAGTTTTATTTGATTCAAACTTAATATTTTGATTTTTATTCAAATAATAATGTCAAATAAAAAGAGGAGTTATGGTTCAATTTGTTGTGACTTTTCAGCTTATCTCATGAAACAAGAACACCTCTCCCTCCTCTCACACAACGGCACGACGGCCTCTCCATTCAAACCTCTTCATTCGACTTCCCAATCGCGATTCGACTCAACTCTCAAACAGAAATAGAACCATAGTGATGAGTACAAGAAGTTTACCTACCGGAGACACTCCGGTGGTGTTTCAGGCGCGGCGGAGATGACGAGAAATCCGAAGATCTTCAACAGAAGGTGATATCATGCATCCAAAATTGCCTTCTTCCTCTTCTTTATTTTCGTTCTTGAATTATGTGATTCCTCTTCATCTTTTTTGTTTTCCTGCGTGCTTATTCCGATGTCGATGTTGAGAATCGAATGTGAGCTTTGTGGATTCGTTGTTTGCAGATCGTAGAGGAAGATGATGATAAATTGATTGCGATGCAGTGTCGAGTTTGCTAATTTTTCCTGATTGAAACTCTTTCCCCAATTCCTTATTTCTTGTATATTTTCCACGATTTTCTCCTTTGTACTGGTTTTTCTCCTGGCTTTTCTCATGATTTTGCAGTGCTGATTTTACCAGTTGGGACATGTTTTCTTCAGTCAGTACTGTTTTTGGTTTTTATGATGCAGCAAGTTTTATTTTCTGGTTTATTGATGCAGGGTTTGGCTTATGTTTTGGAACAGGGCTTTTTATTATGCAGCAAGTTTGGCTCATGAAGATGAAGGATAGATTTTAGGATTTTATTATGTATTTTTGGTATGGCATCAATGTATTAGCAATGGTGTAATGATATTGTTGAATGTTTTTTTTTTTGGGGAGTGCAATTGTTTCTTTCATCTTGTGTTTTGAAATGTCCTTGAAACATGGTAATGTAATACGGTTTGAAGTTGTAATGATAAATGATGATGATTTGAATGGAAACTTGAATGGTGTTCATAATTGTGTTGAATTAGAATTTGAACCAAGCTTTAATCATGGACAATATTTGTATGTATCTTACGAAAGCCTTGGAACCAAACTTGTATGCCTTTCACATCTCTACACTGATTGAATCTGAATTGAGCACTCATATGCCATGCTTGCCCTTCTTAATAAACCTTAATCTCCCAAGTTGAACCTCGAGTCTCAAATATATTATTTTTGAAGCAACAATTGAAAACAATGCTTAAGACCTTGATTCAAAACAAGCTTGCATGTCATACTCAAATCTCATTAGAAACCCTAATTCATGCTTGCATCACAAGTTCTTAAAACCTTGTATCATAAGGCAAAGTTGGCTGAAAAAGCATCCTTGAACCATGATATGTAAATCCCTAATTGTTGGAGTGAAGAATAGATTAATCTAAACTCTACTCTCTTATGCCAAAGCCATGGTTTATGCCTTGCAATCCAAGTAACCAATTGAATCACACCTTGGATGATAGTGAGCCATGTGAACTGCTAACATACCATAAGCAACTCATGCCTGTATTTAAGATACCTGAATAAAATCCAATGTGGATAGCTAGTACCACAAGCAAACTAACTGATTTAACGAGGAGCTTTGCATCACAATGTACATAAATCCTCATTTGTGGAATGGATCCAAGATCCTCTGATTAAGGAAAAATGGCTTCCCAACAGATATCACCAGATAAATCACATATTGACCAGATGATGAACACCACATAGGAGAATATGGCCTGATTCATAATGCATAAAGAAAATCTTTCATCCAAATGCACACTCTTCAGAAAGCCACTTTACTAAAATTATAAGAACACCTCAGATAAAAACCAAACCAAGTTCAAACATAAAGGATTAGAGACCCTAATTCCTTCATTCTTGATGATCATTGCTGGAGAAGAGCCTTGTAATTAGAGGAGAAAGGAAGTTCAAGATAACCATACTTCATAACCCTAATTCCACAATCAATGCTTAAAGAAGAATCTGAGAAATTGGACTTTATTTGATATGTATCTCAAAACCAATAGAAAACCCTGGCTGGCATGATTACAACTCTTTTGAATTCAGGTGCTTTATTGAGTGAAATGCATGATTATACAGATGACCTAATAGAATGTATGCAACTGAATGCAAAGCCTAAGTCAAATAAAAGTAAATTAGGAGGGAAAATTTTGAGGTGAAACAGTTGCCCCTATTTAATCATCTTAAACCTGAAGGTGAGATTGGTGCAAGCCTTTCGAACATGCAAGGTAGAAGAAGATTAAATACCATAAGAATACAAAAATTTGCGCTCTGAGAAATAGGTGAATGGTGTACTACTTTTCCTTTTCGTATGTCTCCACTAACAAACTTTGGCAGGTAATGGTATGATATTCACGAAAGATTTCCACAAAGGAAAGAGAAATTGTGTTTCCTATCTGCAAAAGGCAAACGAATGATATAAAGGATGCTTAACCAAGTGTTCTTACAAAAGGTGAATATGAATTCCACTAGGGAATAAGACTTCTCGTACACATGGCAGAGAACAAACATTTCGAAAACTCACGAACGAAAGACAACAGAAAAGATGACCAGATTTTGAAAAACAATTGTTGGGGAGAGTATAATGAAACATCTACAACTCACAAGTTGGAAACTCACGACTTGAGGGTCAGAAAAACAAATCACAACTCAAGGGTTGAAAACTCATAAATAGAGGGCAGAAAGGGGATAAAAGTTGGTAACTCACGACTCGAGGGTTGGAAAGAAACAAAGGTTGGAAACTCACGACTCGAGGGTTGGAAAGAAACAAAGGTTGGAAACTCACGACTCGAGGATGATGAGTGAAAAATTATTGTGAATTTGAGTGTGAATAATTAGCACTCATTAGCTTAATTTTTTTTCTTTTTGTCAATAAATCTCAACTTTAGTATATATTCGGTATAGTTTATGATATATTATATATATTGTGTTATCTTGTAAATATCATTGAGTTTGATTGATTTTATCTCATTTTTGTAGGTATTCAAGCATTGATATTTAGGTATTTTTAGATAGATTATTGAATAAGCTTTCCAACGCTTCCGCCCATGCGCAAATCGAAGTTACGGCTCTCAAGTTATGACCAAAACAGTGCTGATTTTTCTGTTTACTATCAGTCGTCGCTCCTTGGTCGCCATGCGACGCTGGGGTGACCAAAAGCGTGAAAAATTGTTTTTTTAGCGCAGGGCGATGCGGGCTGGGCAGAAATGCATATTTAGGTCAAAAAACACATTTTTAGGATATGGTTGGGTATTTTTTGTCCCAATTTATCAATCCTTCATTGTTGGTAGTATTAGCTAGAAAACAACACTTAGAGCTTGCTTATGGATGATCCGGAGGCAGAGTTCTCATCAATCGGTGCTGAAAACCCGTGAGATGTGTATTTTTCCTTTGTTTCTTCTCTTTGTATTTCTCTTTTGTTGGTTTTGTTTGTATATTTACTATGAACATATGTATATGTATTGATCATGGTGTTGTATAAAGCTTGCTTTACAAATCAATCTTGATGTCTTCTTTGATCTTTTTGCTTTATGTTTGGATTTGGATTGTTATAGACATATACCTCATAAATCATGATTAGGGATGTGTATCTACTAGTTTCTAGATATAGATTTAGAGTTAATATTCACTTTAGGTATCAGAGCTTAATGCTTCTGTGTTGTTTGGGTTGCGCTGAGAGATCACTGACGCATTAATATTGTTGTTCTCTCAATTTGGGTTAGATACAATCTAGGTTGTGAATGATACGTGTTGACATTGAGGAGTATCGTAGGTTGAGTATAATTGGTCGATAGGTTTAAGTTTGTGAAGAATGGATTATATGCCTGCTTGATAAGTCTATTATCCTAAGAATGAATTTTGTTTATGTTTATACCTTTTAATTCCCGCATTTTCTTCAAACTCATTCAAAACCAAACTCATAAACGCGAGAAATTATCGAACAGAAATTCAGTAGCACTAATCCCTGTAGAGACGATATGGTAAAACTAAATATTTACTTACTTTTGCTTGTCGCTTTACCGCTTCAGCAAAATGGCGTCGTTGCTGAGGATTGGTGTTTTTATTGTTTCGCATCGCGATAGTTTCTTTATTTTTGAGTTTTGCACATAATGTTTATATTATTTATAAGGATAGAAACTTGTTTATATTGATACTTGTATATGATCACCATATTTGTGAATTTTTACATGTTTTCAATACTTGTGAATACCATGTATATGTTCATTTCTCTTCATGTTTGCTAAGTGTTGGGTTAGACTTGACCATCGGTGAGTGCTAATCGTGTAAAGAGGCAACTTGGAAAAGTGTATATAAATAACAGGTGTCGAGCTTACAACGTAAAACAAACATGTTTTTATTGTTTTTAGTTTCCTTATTGTTTTTATCGTATTAGTATAGGTAGTGTAGTGAATTGGTTAAACAAGTTGAAATTGGATCAGTTCTTAAAATTCTCAAATCTTCATTTTTCAACTTGTTTAATTCAATTTTACTTATTCTTTTAGTATGTTTATAGTAGTTGTTTTAATGTGTTATTTTTGTGTTTGTCCAAGAGCTTGTTTTGAGTAGCTTGAGGAAATTTGAGGTGATTTTTCCAAGTTTGATCATTTCAACTTGCGAATGCATGGTAATGATATTGTTTAAATTTTGGTACATTTCCAAGGTATGTGTTTATCTCTTTATATACTATGAAATATACATGAAACTTAGGCTTTTTTCAAATTTTATGTCATTCATTCTTTTGTACTACTTGCTCATGAATTGAATCACTTTAGTTCCTACCCCCATTGCGAGGAAGCTTTCCATTGTTTACCATATGCTCGAAGTACCAACAATTCTTGTTGTAACTAGATTTTATTATGTTTAATCTTGTATTTATGTTTATTGTATGAAAGTATAAAAATGATCAGGGAACTTGTTTCATTTTGAGCACAACCACTTGGCCAAATAGTCAATCTACCTTGTGAGTGAACGAGCATTTGTTAACCCCTTTGAGCATTTTTATCATTATCCATGCTGTATTTGAACCATGATGCTTATCTATGAGTATTTAGTTCACTTATTTTTGAATAAATTTTAATTTTTGTTTCTTGAACCCATAACCATGACTTATGGTTTGAATTTTTACATTGCCTTAGAAAGTAGGGAATATTCATACTATGATGGTTGGTTGAATTCAAGTTGGGAAGAAAAATATTTGATTGTTTATTTGTTGTTACTATGAGGTTGAGGAAAAGAAAAGAAAAAAATAGTGAAAATGAAAAGAAATAAAAAAGAAAGAGAAAAATTAAATAGTTGTGAAAAAGAAGAAAAAAAGTATCGAATAATTATGTTAAATAAGTATTGTGTTTTAGTGTAAAACTTGGGAAAGAAGAAGAAGTGTGATTGAAATTTTGGAGCTTGAGGCCTTTGTGAATTGACCACTCCCTTAGGATTAGGAAAGTTTTTGTTTCAATTACCCTTAAAATTTTCCCCTTGTTTGTTAGCCCGACCACATTACAACCTTGAAAAGACTTTGTGATTCTTGCTTTTATATTTTCAATATGAGTGTTTGGATGAATGCATAATTTCTTCTTTTGTTTACAAGATT